GAAACGCCTGTGATCCACAGAAAGGGAGCCAAACAGGACCCGAGAGGAAAGAGGGGACAATCGAGGAAGGGGCCAGCGGCCCAGCGATGTGGCCCTGGGGAGGCTGGTGCGGAGGTCACAGAGGAGTGGGGGGGCGGGCGTGGGGAAGTGGAGGGACGGGCCCAGGATTCCGGGACAAGAAGCTGGTGCTGGGGCCGCCCGCTGTTACTCTGCCATCGGCGGGGGGGACGGGGGGGGCACCCGTCAAATGGCCTTCAGAAGAGGCGGGCTTCCCTGCCTTGACAGAAGCGACTTCTCCAGGAAAAGGAGGCCACCCCAGCTGCTCCAGGACGAAGGCGTTTCTGCGCGGCTGCTGCGGCCGACGGCTCCCTCCTGGACGGGGCGGGAGGGCGCAGCAGGGCAAGTGTGTGCCAGACAGAAGGCCACCCCCGCCGCCCCCGCCGCCCCGAGGGTGGGGGAGAGGGACGGTGGAGGAGGGACACCAGGGCTGGGGGCTGAGCACCTGAGGGCCCGGTGCAGCCAGGTGGCGAGGCGGGCGGGCCAGCGGGGGCATCCCGAGTTCGCCGGCAGGCGCCTTACCCTGCGAGGCCTGGGACCCGGCAGGGCTGGGCTGTGGGCGCAAACGGTAAGGCCTCGGGGCAGGGAGCCTTTGGGGGGCAAGTCCACAGCCGCCCCGGGAGAGGAGGAGGAGGGACGGCACCGAGGAGCGCGGGAAGAGGGGACCCCCGCCCGGCACCCCCACCCCCAGGGCCTGGGAGTGGAGCCTGAGGGGCACTCCCTGTAGTGGGCAACACGGAGGGCAGGTGTCGGGGCCCTTGACAAAGCCAGTCTCTGTGACGCCACTTCCTGCCCCCTCCCACCCCGTCCTGACCTTCAGGTGCTCCCTCCCCTGCATTCCTCCGGCTCTGAGGAGGCCCAGGTGGGCTGCTCTCACGTGTGCGAGGGCTGAGCACCCAAGGGTGGGCTGCCTGCTTCAGCCTCCAGGCCCCGCAGCTGGTCAGCGGGCACTCCCTGGCACCCCTGTGTGCCTCTGGTGTCCGTCACCATGAAGGATGTGACACAGAGAGCTCGATCAACTGTCCCCAACAAGGGAACTGAGGTCACAGTCCCCCCTCCCCCCGTGCTAGCTAGGGGACATCTCGTAGGAGCCAGGGGGACAGACACCTGAGAAGCAGCCATCCTTGCCCCCGGGGCCGTGTGCACCAAGCCCACCGAAGTGCCCGCCACACGCCCCACTTGGGCCTCATGTCTTCCTCTCAGCCCGAGGAGGCAGCCAGGCACTGGCATGGCAAGTGGCATGGCCAGGGTCCCACTGAGGTGGGGGCCAAGCCCCGGGGTGGTGTCTTCCCAGCACTGCCAGGGCACCGGCCACAGGAAGCCTCCTCCTGCAGGAAGCCTCCCTGGCCTGCTCCTCACCACGGTCTTACGTGCTAACTCAAATGAGAGCAGGCCCCCCGTGAGTCATTTCCTTGGCCCCCCTCTCGGGGAGCCTGGCCCCATCAGCAGGCCGTCTCAGGGTGCAGCCGACGCGGCCCTGACACCTCTCCAAGGCTGGCTCGCCTCCTTTCTAAAGGAAGTCGTGGTAAAACACACGCCCAATAAATAACGTCGGCCATCTCCAGTGCCCAGGCTGGGGGCGTGAAGCGCACTCACGCCGGGTGCAGCCGCCCCTCCAACCTCTCCAGAACCGCTCATGTCTCAAAACTGAAACCTGTCCCCAGGAAGCCCTCGCTCCCATCCCCCGCCCGCCAGCCCTGATGACTGCCAACTACTTTCGGTCTCTATGAACTTGACTGCTTAGGCCTCAGGGCAGGCAGGCAGGCAGGCAGGAAGGGTGAGATAGCCCTGCCTGGGCTTAGACAGGAAGGGCTTGGCCTGGGGCCCCTGGCCTGTCCCGCGCTGTCCTGCCTGCGGCCACATACACCTCCTGGGTGCACCCCTTCTCTCTGGGGCTCGATGCTGGTATTCCCACTAGGCTGTCAGACAAACAGATGAAAGTGGGAAGCATGGTGTGCCGTGCAAGGCCGAGGGCAGAGGGGCCGGCAGACAGAAGGGAGAGGGCGGGAGGCGGGGAAGCCGGGCCTGGAGCTCAGAGGGAGGCTCCCAGTGCTCAGCGCTCCGTGCCCAGCCCCAGCCCCAGCCCCACAGGGGCCTCAGCTCAAGAATGTGCCCAGCGCTCCCGGCCGCCGCCGCCTCCGCTCGCCGGGACAGGCTCCCGGTGCCTCTCACCTTTGCCCCCTCTGCTTCACCCACCCGCTTATTTAGTCAGCAAACCCGGCCGGCCGGCCGGCCGGCCCGGGGCTGCGCGCCGGGAGGGGCTCCGGCCTCCAGGCCGGGGGTCTCCGCGGCAGACAGCTCCTGGCCAGGCTGACACCTACAGAAGCAGAGACGTGGGGTGCAGCCGCCGCGCCCAAAGACACTGGAGGGAGGCTGCCAGGCTGATTGACAGGTGCATCCCTAGGTGACTGAGGAATGTCGCCGGGGAAGTCGGGACTCCGGGGAATTGTGCCAATGACCCCTCCTGGCACCCCCAGACCCACGCCTACAGCCAAGGGCGCGCATGGGCTCGGAGGTCTAAGGTGGAGGGTCACCACCCTGTCACTCACGCATGGTTCTCTGGGTGGCAAACAGGGAGAACCCCAACGCAAACAGGCCAAATAAACACACAGAAATAATTCATTGGCTCCCACATCTGGAAACTTCCTAGTAATGGGGTCCTGAGCTTAAGTGCAACTCAACCAATCAGAAGCCAGCTGCCCTCCAAGGCAGGTCACCCTGAGTGGCAAGATGGCCTCCTGATCCCAGGCCCACTTCCTGTCTGCTTAGCAACACCGGAGGGTTTTCATTGGCCCACCTTTGGTCACATGCCTGTCTTCCATGAACCAATGGCAGGGTCAGAAATGTGGTGCTCTGATTGGCCAAGACCCCTGCCCATCAAAGTGCACAGACTGGTGCCCAAAGGAACTGTGAGACCCTGACCAGCAGGACGGTGCCACGGCCCCCTTTCTCCAAATCCCCCCAACCCCACCCGCCATGCCTCCCATCTGTCCCTGTTTTCAGGAAACCCAAAATAGGGACGTTTACGTGAGGGCTGGGCTGTCTTGTGTTTTAGCCCCCGTGGCAGGAGTAGCTTGCCCCACAGCTCACTCCGGCGCGGGCAGTTTGGCCCCTCTCCCTAGGGTATTCCAGCCTGCAGTCCCCCAAGGCCGCCTCCGTGGGCTCGGCCGGGCGGCAGCCGCCGAGCAGCTCTGTCCGACAGCAAGGCCCTGCCGGCTCCACTCCCAGCCCGGCCCGCGCCTCCTGCGACCGACCCTCTAGGAAGCAGTGCTCGTTGACCCTGTTCGGTGACTTCGGGAGCTGGTGAGGGTTATGCACCAGCTGCCCAGGAAAGTGTGCCCCAGGGGCTGACACTGTCGGCGGGCCGCTTCCTGGGCTGCCTGGCGTCCCAGGTTGAGGGACCCCATTTGGGAAGGGCTTCCCCCTTGAGCTGACCTCTCCCTAAGCCTTGTATCCTGGCTGTGGTCCTGCCGCTTCCAATACCATCAGGGCCTCACCCATCGGATCAAGAACTAAAACAGGTGTAGTAAGTACCCAGAAGTTCCCCTGGTCCCCCGCCGGTCATTGTCCCCCAGCCAGAGGTAGTTCTGATCACTGTCACCACAGTTTTGCCTTTTATGAAACTTCAATGAAATGGAAGCTCACAGTTATATGCTTTTGTGCCAGGCTTCTTGCTCAGCATGATGTCTGTGAGATCCATTCACACTGCTGCCCGTGTCTGTGGGGTTTCCTTTTCATTTTTGTGTCCTATGCCATTGAGCAAATATACCACATCTGTTTCCCCGTTATACCAGTGGATGAGCGCGCCGGCCAGGGTATGGAACATCTGGAACGCTCACTCTGTGCTTGTGGGAGGGTAAACCGCTGCCACCACTGAGGAAAACTCTGTCCCGCTCTCATTGTCACAACTGTCACGTACTGAGCACTGACTGTGTGTCAGGCCCTGGACTCAGTGCTTCATCCGCATCATCTCACTGAGTCCTCCCCGCCACCCTGGGAGGTAGACGGTTGCCCTTGGGAAATGGGACAGTTACGTGATTAATGTTATGGGATTATTGTGACATTTCGCTGAGATAGCATTTGGAAGGATTTAGCCCAAAGCTGCCCTTTGGGAATCCTGGTTTATGGCACCTGTTATCTTTGTTACCAACGGGCGCAGGGCTGGGAGCTCAGGAACCTGGGTTCTGTGGCTGCCTAAGCCAACCTGAGCAAGTCACCTTGGCAACCTTGACCTCAGAGTCCCTGAACAGAGTCAATGGTCAGCAGTGGCCTCGTGGTGGAGGTGGTGCAAATTACACTCTTCAGCAAGACCCCAACTCTAACTTCACGAAGACCACGTAGACAAAATAAAGAAGAAAAAGAAACAAGCCCTGGCTTGTGCAGCTCAGTGGATCAAGCGCTGGCCTGCGAACCAGAAGGTCACTAGTTCAATCCCCAGTCAGGGCACATGGCTGGATTATGGGCCAGATCCCCAGTGGGGGCGTGGGAGAGGCAACCACACATCGATGTTTCTCTTCCTTTCTCTTTTCCTTCCCTCTCTCTAAAAATAAGTAAATAAATCTTTAAAAAAAATAAACAATAAAAAAATAAGATCATGGGGGGATGGGGGGGCACAGGAGTGAGAGTGTGTCAGGAAGGGCCTCGGGAGTGTTCAGGAGCCTCTGCTGAAACTTCTAGAAGATGAGTGCCGAAGGTACTTTCAAGCTTCGGTTGCTCTCGACCTGTCTCTCTCACTAGCCATAAGCTCCTCCAAAGTTGAGCCCGTGTGATTTTCAAGCCCGCGTTCACAAATAGGATTTAAGTGCCTCCCTTCCTCCAGGCACTGTGCCAAGACCTGAGAGATACCTCAGGGAGCAAGACAGAGGAGGGAGGGACAGGGACAGCAAACAAGGCAACAACCCGGGAGCAAGGAACGCAGGGCAGCAAGGGCGGTGAAGGAGCCAGCAGGGCGGTGAGCTGAGAGAACTCTCGGGAAGAGGGGTGCTCCACAGTGAAGGGCTGCTGAGACCTTGACATTCTCAGGAAGGAAGGGAGCCCAGCGCGGCCAGAACAGGTGACAACAAGCTCTATGGCTCTGAGCTGAGAAAGGACATAGGGTGACTGGTGCTGTGAGGGGCGGGCGTTGAAGGGGAGGGTGCTGAAGGGGAGGCCCGAGAGGGGCCGAGTGCCAGTTCCTGTGGAGTCCTGGAGGCTCTCTAAGGCTGATGGGAAATTCGCAATGCTTTTGGCTGGAGAGGGCCACTCGGAACCCCAGGTTAGCGAGGCCTTCTGATGCTCGAGAGTTGGTGGATAGTGGCACACGTGGAAGGTGCTGGACCATGAGTCCTATGAATGAATGAATGCATGCACACATGCATGCATGGATGGGTGGATGTGTGTCCAGGAACAACGGTTCCACAGGGGGCCCCAGACCCAAAAGCCTACTGGAGGTCCTGGTTAGAGGCCTAGCGACCTGGCACTGTGACCTTGGGCACATCCCCGCCCCAACTCAGGGCCCGGAACCCTGCGTCTCGGGGGCGGGGAGGACGTGCAAGGAGGGACAGTGCGTGCGCAGGGCAGGCGGATTAACTGCAGATCCTTCAGATCAGCCCCAGGGCGAAACCATAGCCCCACCTGGTCGGACTGCTGCCTGGCCCGAATCCTTGTCGCCCACCGTGTTTACATTCCCCCAGGGCCGGCCACGCGGCTTTTAGCCGCGTCTGCCCGGCGCGGCCCCGCCCTCCGCGGCGCGCGCCAGCCTGCCTCCCGCGCCCAGCCCCGCGCAGGCCCTGTCACTAGGCCCCGCCCCTCCGGCGCGCAGGCCCTGTCATTTAGCTCCGCCTGTCTTACTGGCCCCGCCCCCGACGCGCAGACGCCGCCACTTAGCCCCGCCCCACCCGCTCCGGCTCCGCCCCCAACCCCGCCCCCGAGGTGGCCCCGCCCCCAGCGGTCCGGCTTCTCGGCCAGTCCGCGCGGCCGAGGGCGGTGCTGAACACCGCGCCGGGCAGTCCGGGCGCTCCGCGGGGCGGGGCCGAGGGTGGCGGGAGGGTGCGGGGGCGGGCCGGGGGCCGGTTCCGCGCGCTGAGATTTTTAAATGTCCCGCTCTTCGCCGGGCGCAGGAGCAGCCGGCTCGACCGCCAGCACGGTGTAGGGGGCAGGCGCGGATCCCGCCACCGCCGCGCGCTCGCCGCCGCCGCCGCCCGGCTCCCGGCCTCCCGCTCTCCCCTCCGCCCTCCTGCCTCCGGCCTCCGCGCGTGCTGCCTGCCTGTCGCGACCCGGCTTCGGGTGAGGCCCCGCGCGGCTGCGAACGGCGCGGCGGGCGAGGACTCCCGGGTCCGGCCAGCCCGGGTGGGGTGGGGTGGGGGTGGGGCGAGGCCGGGTCGCTGGGTCCCCGGGGGCGTCAGCGTGGGGTGCCCGGGCAGGGTGTCTCAGAGGGGAGCAGGGGAGGTGTTGAGGGGGAGACTGAGGCAGCCCGGGCCCCGAGGGCGTGGATGGGCTGGCAGAGCTTTCGGAGGGCGTCGGGCCCCCCCCACCCCCGGGTTCGGACCCGGTATCGCGGGCTGTTGGCGGCGCCGTGGGTGACAAGCCACCCCGGGCCCATCGGCCATTTTCCCGACCGGGCCGGGAGGCTCCCGCCGCTGCCGCGCGGGAGGGGGAGGGGTGTTCGGGGAGGGCCGGCAGGCCCGGGTCCCTTCCGCGGATCGTGCTCACCCCATGGCCCGCTTCGTGTCCCCCAGGCCTCAGGTCTGACCCCGCGCCCCACGCCATGCCGAGGGAGAGAAGGGAGAGGTGAGTGGCCTGGCCCCTGCGGGGAAGGGAGTGTGTGCGGCGGTGGGGGAGGGGTGGCCCGCACCCGGGGCCGCTCGCCCTCACCTCTGTGCCACCCTGGCTGTGCAGGGATGCCAAGGAGCCTGACGGCATGAAGGAGGAGAGCGGCGCCGATGTCTCTGCTCACTCCAGGAAGAGGAAGGCGAATGTGGCCGTTGTGAGTACAAAGGAGACAGGTGGGGGCGCATGGGCCCCCCATCCCACCTGGGTACCCGCTGGGGCTCTGCCCAGGTAGTTAGTTATCCGCGGGGTGGGGGTGGGGGGCCTGCGCGTTTGTGGAAAGTCTGTTCACAACCTAACTGGCTTTCTCTCTCTTCTCTCCGTGTGTCTCGCCTGTGGGCTGCCCGGCGCTGGGGACTGTCGGATGTCAGTTTTTGCAGGACCCAGACGAGGAAATTGACAAAATCGACAAGTCCGCCAGAAGCGAGAGCGGCGGTCAGGTGGGCTCCCTTGCTGGCTGGGCCTGAGTGGGGGCCGCCTGCCCCCAGGTCGGTGGGGTCTTGTCCTGTCTGGCCACTTGCGGAAGGCTTTTTCCCTGTGGCCCCCGCCGTGTGGCTGAGCACCGCGCCTGTCCGGGGGCTCGGGCCTCCGCCCGCGCCTGGTGTTGGAATGTGTGCCCGTGTCCGGGGGAACGGGAGTGCACGGGAAGTAACTGGGCCCTTCCCTTCTGCCCCTGAGGACACTGAGCCTCAGGGGAGAGACTCAGGGGAGAGACTCAGTGTCCTGGGGCAGAGTCTCGCCTCCAGCTTCCTCTCTGGGCTGCCGAACTGGGGGTGGGGGGGCAGACACATGGTTCTCTGGGTGACTAGGATGAGGGGGGCTTGTGTGGGTCCATGGACGGCTCCCCCCACTCACTCACATCTGGGCGTTCACCTCACGGAGGTTAAGGCCCTCCCTTAGGGCCTTGAGATCAGGTTTTAAACTTGCACCTCGCTTCTGGGAGCTCTTCCAGCCCACCCAGCCGTGGCCTATGGGGGTCGCTGCCTGCGGCGCCCCAGCCTCAGCCCGAGTGCCAGCGGGCCGTGCTGTGTGACGGCGACATGTGTGTCCTCGTACACCTTTTTGTTGGCTAGCCCAGGTCTCCCGCCCTCCTTCATGGGCTTCCCGCCCCCCTCCCCGCGTGCCCCCGATAGCATTACGATATCAGAGGTTGGTGGCAGAAAGGCTCGTATTATCTCCTTACCGCCAGAGAGGGCTGCAGACTGCAGTTACGGCTGCGGCGGGGCGGCTGCCTGTCTGCAGGCAGGTGGACGTGAGCGGGGTCGGTGTCTGAGCCCGGGGCCGTGAGCAGCAGCCATGGGCCACGTCGTGTGCGGTCACACGGGAGGGCCTGGCAATGAGCATTTCTGGGCCGGTGCCACGGACGGCGAGCAGGGGTGGGTGACTTCCTTCTCTAGTCAAGAAGAAATATTTCACGCGAGAACAGGAAATAAGGCGGCGCATCCCAAGGTCTTTCCTTTCTGGTCTTTTCCTCCCCTTACGGCCAGTCGTCAAACCAAGCAGGCTGACTTTTGCAGGTCTCTCTACTTCGTGAAATTCAAGTTCGGTGGTTTTCTCAGCTGTGCTTGCATGGAGTTTGCAATGGAGGACGAGGCAAGGGTGGCGTCCACACTGACTTCTTGTGTTTGGAGGAGTGTCTGTTTTGAAGGATCACTGGGGCGGTGGCCCTGTCCCCCACTGCGGAGAATTGAGACGCGTGACGTGTGAACGGCCATGTTACTCCCCCGGGAGGCCTTGTCTGGCCCCCCCGAGATCACGGGTGACATGTTTGTGTGCGTTCGGTGGGGCAGGTAGCCAGGATGTCACTGGCGCTTTGTGGAGCGATTGGAGTCTGGCTCTTTCTTCTCTGTGTCGACTCATGAAGCTGGGATTCGGGGGGTGACACGGAGCCCTTTTGCCCGTTAATTACACAGAATTGCGTGTTACCCGAGCTGGGCCCAGCACAGCGGCCGCCACGCCGACCTCTGTGCAGGTGTCCACCGAGGCCTCAGGGGGCACGGACTTCACCTGAGGTCCATTTGGCAGGTCCCCGTTGTCCTGCGGGGTGCACCTTTCTTACAGAAGCGGCAGCCTGGACTTCCGTTAGTCCTCAGAAGGCCCCTTGTGTGAGGTGGTTCTGTTGCCGACTCTAAGGGGCGCGGGGAGCCGGGTCGTCAGCAACAGGCAGGATCGGGCTCCTGCCACCCTCCCGCGTCTCCCTGAAGCCAGGCCGGTCACCCTGCTCCGAAACAGTGCGTGTGCCGAAGTCACAGGGCCGTGTCTACACACTGCCCCTGAACGGGCTGGCTCTGGGGGCCACTGCTTGTCGCCCGGGTTTCCCGAGCGGCAGGTCGGAACCGGTGCCGGTGCCCGTCCCGAGGTCTGCTCTCGGCTCTCCCCTGCCGCTCGGCTGCCAGGATTGGCTCCCCCGCTCCTGCCTTCAAACCAGAGCCCTTCCCGGAGAGCAGCTAACCCCCGTGTGAGTGGAGGAAGGAGACCAGCAGGGGCAGAGGGGGCCACCCGCCCTCCGGCAGGGCCGGTGAGGGCTGCCTGGGTTGCCTGCGTGCCCTGCACCCGGAGCCACAGCCGCCCCGTCTGGCTCTGCTCTCCTCGGGCCCCCGAGGCCGCTGGGGAGCTGGGCCGGGCAGACCAGCAGCCCCCACCCCATGCTCCCTCGTCATCGGCTCGGGTGTCCTGGCCTTCTCCAGCCGACAAAGTGACCTCGCGGCGGTGGGCTCCCGCGCGAGCAGGCTGTCACCTTCCCCGCCGGCAGCAGAAGCGCCGTCTCATCGTTTCCAGAATCAGCGTGTGGGACAACGGGCCGGCGGTCACAGGGAGGGGAGACGTTCCAGCGTCAGTTACAGGCTGTGGGTAGAGTAGGACGGTGAGCCGCGGCTGGAAGAAGAAAGTCTCCTAAGTGGCAAAGGGACTGAGGCATTTTCCAGACACTGCAAACTGAGTGGGGTTGGGTACCCCGGATCTTGACAGGAAAAGCCCCGTCCGGGTTCTCGGTGGCGTGTGTTCGATCACTCGTCGGTTGGTCCTGCCAACTCTCTGGCCTGTGGCTTCGGGGCGGGAGCCCAGGGTCTCGGGATCAAGGCCCAGCTGTCCCCACAGACGTCCATGTCACCGGTGCCTGTGGCTCCACGGGGTCCCCACTGGGCAGAGACTCTTCCTGTCCAGTTCTGAGCGGGGGGGAAACGGAAGGTCCCTGTCCCGTCGCATGTTTGGCTGGGCCTGCAGCCCAAGGGAGAGGTCACATCGATGTGACCTGCGCTCAGAGCAGAAGCAATCGTGGGTGGGGATTCACACTTTCGATCTTCTGTTCTCGTGAGTGGGGTGTGCTTACATGAGCACTTCTGTCGGGGATGCTGCCTTCCGCTTCTGAGAAGTTGTTAAACTTTATTTATGTTTTAAATGTTTTATTTCTTTGTAGAGAGAGGGGAAGGGAGAAAGAGAAGGACAGAAACATCCATGTGTGGGTGCCTCTCGCACGCCCCCTATTGGGGACCCGGCCCACAACCCAGGCCTGCGCCCTGACCGGGAATCGAACCGGCGACCCTTTAGTTTGCAAGCTGGCGCTCAGTCCATGAGCCACACCAGCCAGGGCTAAGAAACTTCTGTAGCTGGGCTGTACTTGTGAAAATACAAATCGGGACTGGGCCGTCCCCCAGCGGGCTACAGTTGTGCCTGGCCTCTCGCCGAGCTGCCCGCGGAGCCGTGCTCAGGTGTTGGTGGCAGCGCGAGAACCGTTCGCACCGGGCAGCGTCTCGCCGCCCCTGCACCCCGGGGCCGCCCCTGCCTCGTGGGGAATGACGGCCAGAGGTGGAATGCGTCCGCCCTCGGCGTTCCCTCAGACGCTGACTCACTGGCCGACGCTGGGGCTCCGGCGGCAGTGGAATGAGAGCTCGGGGTCCTTCCCGGGGCTCTTCCTCGTCCGCGCGTCCCCGCCCCAGGTCGGCCAGGACACCCGCCTCTGCCTGGGGGTGGCTCTCCAGGGCGGAGACACGCCTTGGATTACTGGCTCTCCTGCAAACCACTGCACGGGAAAGTAGCTGGTTTCCATCAACACTGAAAAACGTGTTTTCCCTTTCCAGCCTTGGGACGGCCGCGCAGCCTCCGAGAACCCGTGCTCCCTGATCCCCACGCCAGACAAAGACGAGGACGAGCTGGGGTTCCCCAGCTCTGCGCACAAGACCCCCATCGCCAGGCCGGCCCGAGCCACGCCCCTGCCCATGCTGAAGTGAGTGCCCGCCCCTGGCCCTCGCCCCGCCTGTCGGTGCCGTGGGCACACGCTGACCCCGGTCCCTTGCTTTGCTGCCGGGCGGTGTCTCCTGCAGCTGGGCGAACCGCGAGGAGGTCTGGAAGATCATGCTGAACAAGGAGAAGACGTACCTGCGGGACACGCACTTTCTGCAGCGGCACCCGCTCCTGCAGCCGAGGATGCGGGCGATTCTGCTGGACTGGCTGATGGAGGTGAGCGGGTCTCCCCGGCGGCAGCTGGCAGCACGGCCCCTTCTCGAGCCGTGCGCTGCTCCCGTCTCTGTGGGGCTGGCCGTGTCCGCACAGGCCGAGCCTCGGGAGCTACCGCCACCCTACCACGCTCTCACTTCTTCCTCGTTCGCGTGCATGCTTCCTTGAAAGGATTTCTGAAGTCTCCTTACCCCCTGGATGTTTTTAAGCTGGCGTCTATTTTTTCCCTGTACAGTGTTGCAGCTTTTCTGCCTGTGGGATCAAGGAGGGAAGGGGGGGGAGATTAGGCAGTGGGAGGGAGCAAAGTGCGGATGGGATCACAGGAGGGTTAAGATCGTGTGCTCTCTGGAGGATTGAGACCCCCGCCCCACCTTCAGGGATATCACTTCTGGCATCTCAGAGGTGTGTTAACCCAGATACACAGAAGCAACAGAACTAGCTTAGAGCCTTTCGCTGCAGAAGTGACGAGCCAGGGGCGTGGCCGCCCACCCTGACCTGCCTGGTCAGGAACCGATGACCATATCCCCTGGGAGGTTCCCCTCCATCAGCCCCTGGCCACCCACAGTTCCCCCTGGGGTCCTAAATCAGCCTGACGGCCGCGTCGGTACCCAAGCTTTGGGTCGGAGCGTGCGGTCTCGGCGCTGGGAAGGCTCCTTCCTAGGAGTCTCAGTCTTGTCATCGTCCTGTTGGCCATGGGGGAGGGGGCCACTCGGTGACCATGGGACCTGAGGCCAAGTTTCCCCGACACGGAAGGAAGGGCAGGGCCTCCCTGGTGACAGCCCTGGTGGCCCCTGCCCTGTGACCCGTCACGGCCGGAGTCCCGCCTTCCACCTTGTTTCTGCCCTGCGGTCTAGTGCGAGGGGCGTCTGAGCCTTGTCATCAGGGTCTCCGTCGTGGCACAGATAGTCTTTTTCAGTGAGGTGTGGGCGCTGGTGTTTGGTCCTTGTTGACTGAACTGCTTGTAGATGTGTCTGGTGGGGCGCAGGCCACCGCTGTTTCATAGTCACCTCCATCGTTTTATTTCCTTAAAGATCTTGTTTGCTTACTTACAGAGAGGGGAAGGGAGGGAGAAAGACACCGAGGTGTGGGAGATACAGTGATTGGTTGCCTCTCACGTGCCCCCAGCCCGGGACCTGCCCCACAACCCAGGCGTGTGCCCCGATGGGGAGTCAGACCGGCGACCCTTCAGGTTGTAGGCCGGTGCTCGGTCCACTGAGCCGCACCAGCCAGGGCGGCGACGTTTTCTGGCAGCATTTGTCTTGCATGATTTGTGTGGGTTACAAATAGTGTATATCGGGTGTCACCCTCATTCTCCCCGGGGGCCACATCAGCTCGCTGTGGCCTTCCAAGGGCCGAGTGTGACTGTAGGACTGTGTGACTGTAACTACTCCTTAACTGGGGGCCAGGAGCTCGGCGCTGCCGCCTCGCCTCGGTGCCGTACAGCCGCGGGGGGCGTGGGGACGGCGGCGCTGAGACGACCGTCAGGAGGGGGACCTGCACGGGCAGCACCGTCGTGTGTGCTGACGGCGACTGTGGCAGTGGGCCCTCGCGGTCCAGACCCGCCCGGTCAGGGGTCCGCCGCCCTCGGGCGGTTGGCGGGGCGTCCGGTGCTGGTTCACCAGTTGTCTCTGGGCGCTCTTCTACCTGGGAGCCCGGGGAGGCGCAGGTCGCCTGTGTGGGTCCCTGTGACGGCCCGGCCGCGGGGGAGGCAGGGTTCGGATGCGTTGCAGCCTCCGATGGAGGCACGCTTGGGCCTTCCCACCTCGCTCCCGATGCCGCCCCGCTGCGAGCAGACGGGTCGTGCTGTCCCCGAGCCACGAGGAGACTCACAGGGGCAGCGCTCCGGGAAGCTCCTGGGTTTCCGCGCCAGGCTGCACCGCAGGCTGTGAACGGGGCGGCGGGGGGGGGTCGCCCCTCACCCCACGCAGGGCGAGCCCTTTCCCCCCCGGGTCCCTCGAGCGGCCGACCTGAGACGTGCCCGGCGTGTCGGCAGGTGTGCGAGGTCTACAAGCTGCACAGGGAGACGTTCTACCTGGCGCAGGACTTCTTTGACCGCTACATGGCCACGCAGCACGACATCGTGAAGACGCTGCTGCAGCTCATCGGCATCTCGTCCTTGTTCATCGCCGCCAAGCTCGAGGTGCGTGGCCGCCGGCCGCTCCCCGGGCCCCGCCGGGCGGGGGTGGGGGGGGTGGGGGGTGCGGTCCGCTCTTTGTCTCCGGGGCCCACCCCACGCTGTTCTCGCTGGAGAGGGAAGAGCAGGAGTGTGTGAAGTGCTGAGGTCATTGCGGGGACCTGGAGCAGGAGTGTTGAACCCGGGCCTGCGCGGGCTGAAATGCCGGCGTGGCGGGAAGGGTGGGCGGCCCAGCTTTCAGAGGTGGTCTTTGAAAGATGAACGTTTCAGAGGCGTTCCCGGGGAAGTGGAAGTGCGAGCAAGCGATGGGAGAGGGCGGCTGTTCCGTTCTGTCTGTTTCACGCCGGGGCAGCTGCGGGGCTCCTCCCATCAGCAGCGCACCCCAGGTTCAAGGGGGCGGGCAGTGGGGATGGGCTTTCCCTAGCGCTTTCTTCCCCTCCTTCCTCGCAGGAGATCTACCCTCCCAAGCTGCACCAGTTCGCGTACGTCACGGACGGGGCCTGCTCGGGGGACGACATCCTCACCATGGAGCTGATCATCATGAAGGTGGGCCACGGGGCCGGGGTCCCCGGGCCCGGGCCGCGTTTCGGAGGATGGAGGGGAGCGGAGACGTCTCTGCTTTCCCCACGACGGCGTCTTCCTTGTGTCCTGCAGGCTCTTAAGTGGCATTTAAGCCCCCTGACCATCGTGTCCTGGCTGAACGTGTACATGCAGGTGGCCTACCTGAACGACCTGTACGAGGTGCTCCTGCCGCAGTACCCCCAGCAGGTCTTCGTCCAGATCGTGGAGGTCGGTGCCGCGCTCGGGGGCGCCTGCCCCCCCCCCGAGGCTCGGCCCGGGTGGTGCGGGCTGGCCGCTCAGCGCCCTGGTTTTCCCTGCAGCTTTTGGACCTCTGCGTCCTGGATGTCGGCTGCTTAGAGTTTTCCTACGGCGTCCTGGCCGCCTCCGCGCTGTACCATTTCTCCTCGTGCGAGCTGATGCAGAAGGTCTCCGGTAGGTCTGCGTCCTGGGGCGTCCTGGGGCGTCCTGGGGCGAGGCCGGGGGGGCGGGGCCGGCCGGGGCGGAGCCTGCCATGCGCGTCCCCTGCAGGGTTCCAGTGGAGCGACGTGGAGAAGTGCGTCAAGTGGATGGTGCCCTTCGCCATGGTCATCAAGGAGACGGGCAGCTCCAAGCTGAAGCAGTTCCGGGGCGTTCCCGCCGAAGACGCCCACAACATCCAGACGCATCTGGGCAGCTTGGACCTGCTGGTCAGTCTCGTCCCCGCACACCCCCGAGTCAGGCCCCGCCCCCTCCCGCTGCTCCAGGAAGGAGAGCTGTGCTCAGTACTCGCGCCTCCGCGTGGTGTGTGGCCCGGCGCAGACGTCTAGATTGTTCTGTGCTATTTCCCCCTCTCCCCCCGCAGAGCAGAGCACACGGTGATCTGTGCCCAAAGGACATTCTTCCTCCTCACACTCCTCACTCTGCTTCTCGCCCACAGGACAAAGCCCAGGCGAAGAAGTCCATGTTGTCTGAACAAAATCGGGTTTCTCCTCTCCCGTCCGGGCTCCTCACCCCGCCGCCGAGCGGCAAGAAGCAGAGCGGCGACCAGGACGCAGCGTGACACTCCAGCCTCCTCACCAAAGACAGTCGTGCCCAGCCGCCCGCGCCCGTGCCCGCGGGCCTGCGCCCGGCGCCGCCTCGGCCGCCCGGACTCCCCGGGAGAGCGTCCGCTCCCGAAGCACAGGTGCTCCGCGAATGGCGCGGGGCGGGGAGAGGCGTCCTCACGGCCGCTCACGTTCCTCTCCTGAGCGGGGCAAGGGCCCCGGCTGCCTCCAGATGCTGCTACGGAGGGCGCCGCTCGGCCCGACGGACACTGAGGCCGGGAGCCGAGGGCGCGCGGAGCTGCCGCCTCCCCGCGGGTGTGCTGGGTGCCCTGGGTGCTGGTGCTGTGCGGGGTCGGTGCGGGCGCTGGGACACGGCCAGCGCGCTGGGCCCGCCCTCCGCGTTATCAGTTGACAATGTACAACGCTTTCTATGAACTGTCGTTTCCGAGTGCTGCTACGTCTGTCTGTTTTTAATAAAGGTGACACTGTCTCTGAGACAGCCGGTTCCACGAGCCACGCCTGGTCACTCCAGTCAGCGGTCACTCGGTGGCCCGATCCTGGCGTGAACTGCCCGCTTCCCGAGGCCCACGCTTCCCTGCGAGCGCGTTTCACAGGAAACTCGGGGGACGCCCAGGGTGCTGCCTCACTGCTTCGGGGCCCAGGGCTGGGCGGGGGGCACCCGTCCGGCCCCTCTCCCAGGGGTCCGCAGGGGCCTCCTCCCACCCTCAAGTTCGGTGGGGAGGACTCCACATGGTGGCCGGCGACCACCGTGACAGAGGAAATGCCGAGTGGGGTGCGCGCAGCCCAGGGCCGGGGTGCGGGACAGGCTCCGACCCCGGCCCCCGACTGGCTCCCAGAGGGCGGCACCATCCCTCGGAGACCTGGGGTGCACGGTTCACGCTGTGCGTGTGTGACACACTCGGCGCGGAGGCCGCGCCCAGGCTCGCGTCCCTGCGCCTCCCCGTGAGCGCCTCGGCGTGCGCACGGGTTCGCCAGAGGGAGGGTGAAGGAGCAAATAAACGTATTTTCGACTCGGTGTTTTATCTCATTTCTGTAAAAAATCCTCTGGCGTCCCAAGAAAAACCACCATCTTGTGTGTGTGTCATAATTACACGGAGTGGGCGAGGGAGCTCACTTCTCCACACCGTGATGTTCTGGCTCCGGCGAGTTCCATCCAGCGCGGCTTCCTGGTCAGAATGCGCCCTGCGTGTCCGGGTGACGCCGCGCCCGCTGATTGCACGCCTGCCCGGCGACAGCCCCCACGCAGACAGCGGCTCTCGCCCTAAAATGGAGCAAGTTGTTAATGGCGGTCACTCGCAAGTGACTTGCAAGAAATCCTGAAAGTGGCTCACATTAGGCATTTTCTGTGCAAAAGACACATTCCCACTTCCGGAGTTCGAGAAGTTCGAGGGCTTGGTGAATGAATGAGGTCACGGGGGCTGGAGAGCATGTCTGAGGGGCGCGAAGCGCGCCATCGTTGGGCGAGCCGTCCCCTTGCGGGGTCTCACGGAGCACAGTGGGACGGGCCGGCCTTATCTGTAAAACTGCTGGGGTGCTGCGTTTCTGGAATTCGGTATTTCTTTTTAAATAACAGTGTTGCCACGGGCAGCTGTCAATCATCTGTGCCAGGAAAGGGTAAGTCCCACGGGTAAACCCGATTTACGGTGATTGGTTATTTCCTGCGGCTCTGCCAGGAACCCCTAGAGCCCTCGGTACGTCGAGGCGGCTCCCCTCTCCCAGGAGCTTCCTCCAAACTCGAGCCCCTTTCGGGGTGGCCCTACATGCCCCTTGGCCCAGTCACTCTTGTTCTGTGACGTAGCTGGACCTGCCTGAGGCCAGGCGACCCTGAGCGGGCCCCGGGGTGACTGGTCGTTCTGGTCCCCCCGGGCGGACAGATGCTGTGAGGTGCATTCCTGAGCAGGGGGGACACGGGGGGGGTGGCGGCGGGGGCCCCTCATGCACCTCCTTGTGCTGCAGACGGAGGGACAACTCACCGGTCACCGTGGTGATGGGTGTCTTCAGCTCACGGAAGTCACCCCTGGCCCCCACCCGAGCTGCTGTCACGTCCGTGCCCTGTGCCTGAGAACGAGAAGGCTGGCCTCGGGGTGGCGGGGTGAGGGAGTTGCCAGCTGCCCCTCCCTGCCCACCCCCCCACCCCGCCCCCATGTGCAGCACTTATCCTGCCACAAGGGACAGGAGAGGCTGGGTGTCCGCGGACCTGAAGTTCTGGAGATGAGTCAGTCGCGCTGTGGGACCCTTTACAACCCGGAGCTCAGGGCGACCGCCCCTCCTGCCCTCGAGCGCCGACACAAACGAGACTGCAGGTTATTGGAGCAACGATAGGCCCCGGCTCGAGCGGGGCCGGGAGACACATCAAATCGGATCACGTCTAGGCAGACGGAGCCAGCTGCGCCCTTCCCTGCCGCGTTTTGAAATTCAAATCACATTTCTACCTTGGACATTGTTAGAAGACTATTTTTATCCCCGCTGTAATCATCTAATTTGCTGATTACGGGTCTCAAATTGCCACAGAGAACTCAATTTTTGAAAGAATTGTCCTGTTTGATCAAACACGTTATTCCGGCAATGCAGCGTTTGTTCCACGAGGGTACCTGCCAGGCAGGGCCGGCCGGGAGTAATGGCATTAGAAGCCCGCACTTAAAACCACGCATTAGCTAATCTACCGGCGACAATAGAGCCTTAAATATAATTTGCCGCAGACACTTCAGTTCCTGCGAGGCAGACAATTGCATTGCATTGTAGATTTTCCTGCCTCATCCCAGTTCCGAATGTGACTCCAGGAGACTCTCACTCCCGGGCTCCCGGGCTCCCGGGTCCACTTCCCCCAGCCTCAGACAGGGGGCGATGGTGGTAGCCTTGGATGACAAAGCAGCCCCCACGCCCAGCTTTTAACCCGTTTGTCCTGACCAGCGCCAGCCCCCGCAACTGTGTAGCGTCTGGCTGCGGTGAGGGGCCAGTCTGCGGTAGGCTGCCGTCATAAGACACACGTGTGAGCGGCGTGTACCTGTGCTGGGCGCTGCCTGCAGAGCAGGCTGGGTGCCGTGGGGCAGCCCAGGTGAGCCTGGGTCCAGGTGAGCGGGAAGCCGCACGGGCGGTGGTGTGGGAGGGCGGGGGGAGGGCGGGAAGAGACCCTGGTAGCAGGAGAAGGTGGGCACGAAGGGGCGGCGGACGGAGGGGCCCCAGGCAGAAGGGGAGCGGGGACCCAGTCCCCAGGGGCGCGGGCTGTGAGGCGGAAGCGGAGCCGAGGGTCCCGGCAGCAGGGGCAGTGTTTGCGCGGAGGGCAGTGCCGGGCGGCGGGGGCTCCGCGGCGTTCCTGGGCCGGAGCCAAGCCTGGCGCACACAGGTGAAGCCCGCCCGCCTTCCCTGCGCCCACGGTCTGGGGACCCCCGAGAAGACCGCCGCCCGAGGTCAGGGTGCTGCAGGGTCCCCACACGTCTTCCCAGGCTGTTTGTAACACTCCCGTGGATATCTGGGTCCACGGGCAACAGATTCACAGAAACCACGGTGGTGGGGGCGGGGGGGGGGTAGAAATTCACAGAAACGGGATCAGACCCTGCCCAGCGTCCTGCCGCTGGTTCCCTCCCTTCGGCGTCCTCCCCAAGGGGTGCCTGTGTCGGTGCCCGTGGGGCTGCCTCCATCCCGGTGGCAGGGGTTTGCTCGGTGGGGATGAGCCCCCGTGCCCGTACCGCCGCCGCTGCCGAGTGGGCCCCCGAGGCGCTTTCCTGCGGCTTCACGCCCGCAGGTGGTGCTGCCCCCAACACGTGCACACACGTGCCGCGTGCGTGGCTCTCCCAGGCCCAGTCCCAGGCGTGACGCTGCGCCTCCGCCCCAGGAGATCAGCCAGCCCCCAGATCCTGCTGATTCTGCCCCCACTGCGGCGGGTGGCACCAGCCTGGGCACTGCCCGCCATGCCGCCCGGTAAAATAGCCGCGGTCCCACCGGATGGGCTTTTCCCCGACTGGGAGGGTGAAGCGCGTCTGTTGCACGGAGCTAGGCAGCTACGCCACACACAGCACAGACGCGGCAAGTCCCCGGAGACGCCACGCCTCACGGTCTCGGTGAGGAAACACCGTAGCTGGCTGCACGGTCCTGTCCTGGACGCACACTAACATGACGAGACCCCTTTCCTGCAGGGCTCACTTGTGCAACGGTGCCCTCTCTCTCTCTGCCGTTTTAAATGCACGTGTGCATGCGAACTTCCCCCTTTTCATTGATACTTTTTAAAAAGGCTTTATTTATTTTAGAGAGGAGAAGGGAGAGAGGAAGAGGAAGAGAGAAGCATTGATGTATGAGAGATATGTGGACAGATCGGTTGCCTCTCACACACGCCAACTGGGGACCTGGCCTGTCACCCAGGCATGCGCCCGGACTGGGAATCGAACCAGCGACCTTTGGGTTCGCAGACCAGCACTCAGTCCACTGGGCCACACCAGCCAGGGTAGTTTCTGTTGCTCTTTATCTGTGAGCACCTGCTGTTGGTGCCATCGCTCGGCACAGAAGCGTGGGACATGGCCCGGAGCAGGCGCTCGGTAAGGATGTGCTCCGTGAGTACACGGGCAGCTGGACCGATTCTTACACAAACAGGCACTTGCATTAAATTTCACACTTTTCCAGAGGAAATGTAGGCCAGCTTTTACTTGCAGAAGATCAACATTGAGACTAGAAAGCAAGACACAAACAGGAGTGGACCAGACCCCGTGTCTGTGCCGGTGCCTTTCGGAGCAAAGCTGCCGGGCCCCACCGGATTCCGATTCCCGGCAGGGCGGCTAGGGCAGGCTCCCTCCGCCTGCCCGGCCCCGACGCGTCCTCCGGCAGAGAGCCGGCAGACGATCCGTTCCCCAGGACAGACGAGGCAGCTGGAAATGCAGAGCAGCGTCTTCCGGCATCACAGCCTGGGTGCCCAGGACCCTCGTCTCTGTGCGAGGCGATGGATGGCTTGGCCCGAAGAGCCTCCCCGTGAGCCGTGCCCTCCGCCCCTGCCGGTCTGTCCCCCCTCCGCCCCTGCCGGTCTGTCCCCCCTCCACCCCTGCCGGTCTGTCCCCGAGGCTGTGTGGCCCGGGAGGCAGGTCGGTGCCGCCTTCCGTTGTGTTTGGGCTGCACGGAGGCTTCGAGACACGTGACCCCTCCATTGACACTCGGGAGAGCTTGCGCTTGGACACCCTCCCCGCTCTGGGCGGCCGGAGGGCGGGGCCCCGACTCCCACTCCCCTCTCTGTCCCAGGAGCCCAGGTGAGGCCCCGGGTCCCGAGAAAAGACTGTTCTGGAACCCGGGAACAGGGTGAGACCAAGGAAAGGAAGGTTTCGAGGGCAGCGGCAGAGATGGCACGGCCCCCTCTCCACCCCGGCCGCCCAGGATGTCCGAACACGTTTACTAACTGGGACACAGCCCCGTGCCAGCCTGACCCCCACGGGTGATTGCTGCAGATTCCGGGGTTTATGGGAGGGTCTGTGGGCTTTCAGCTCATCACTCGCCCACCCGGGGCCTCCGTGTCTCCCTCAGGCCTGTGGGCGGGGGTGGGGGCCGCTGCACCAGCGAGCCCAGCCTCCTGGGCGCCAAGGCCGCGCTCCGGCTCTGCTCACACTCTGTCCTCCAGGTGGTGCCGGGAGCCCAGTCGGGCACTCTCAGGTTTGCAGTCACACGCTGGGGAAGCCCCCGCTTCCTGTCAGCAGAGGTTTCGTTTCTCTAGCTGTCAGGAGGGCCGGGGCAAAGTGACACTGGCCAGCAGGTGGGCTAGAAACCTGCCATGGTCTGAGAACTGCTTTACCTCCTCCTTGCCCTCCAGGTGACCCCCGGGTGACCTCTGACCCTCACCCTGACTAGGGCGTGTCCAGGAGACAGGTGGGGCCGCTGTGATTCCAGGGTTCCAGCGCTGCTGCTCGGAAAAGACCCCCTGTGCAAAGGCTGGTAGCCGGCCCTGCAGG